GCGCGCGGGAAGCCAATTCTCTGAGTCAGCCGCCAATGTTTCCTGTAAGCACAGCCCTGAATCCCACTGTCTGCTCTTCTGATGTGTGTAACAAGCAGCCACCAGGTCTAAGAGAACAAGAGATAAATTAGGGCTCCCCACCACCCGGGTGAAGCATGAAACAGCCTCAGTGGTGGCAGCAGCTTCCCTTCATGAGCTCCGGATCGTCTGCACCCTAGTCGAGACTTGGGGGTGACTGTCTGGGCCAACTGGGGCAGGATGAAAGGCTGTGAGATGCACAAGGCCTTGCCTGAAAGCCAACTAGAAATATTTTGCTGATTTGAAGCAAACTGTGTACAGTGATAATGACCATTTCATTTATGCCCGATTCTTGGCTGGGGGGCAGGCTGCCCCCAAACCTCAGCTGCATCCTCGCAATGGGTCACTTTTACCCGCAGCAGGAAGCTCGGCTCCCAGCGGGCCTCTAAGTGGAGGGTTCATGCTTAATGCATGTGTTTTCAGGGACCAAAGGCACAGCGTGGGGAGCTCAGAGGAAGTTTGTTTAGCCAGAATTACAATCGGCATCTCAGCTTTCTCCAGGGAGGCAAACGCAGCACAGGAAAAAGGCCAGGGAGAGCAGCCACAGACAGCGTTGGGTTTCAGCCTCAGATCCAAGCGCAGCAGCTCTGTGATCGAGGCGATTTAACCTCGCCCAGCCTCAGCTTCCTTCTCGGGATAATGAACATACTGAGGCCTACGCAGAGTCAAAATCCACATGAAACCTCCATAAATAAGTGTCCAGCTAATGCTAGACCCAGGACCACGGTCTCCAAAAAGAGGAAACCTGAGTTCAGATGCCACCAGCCTGGGCACCTTTATTCCTGGTGGCGGCAAGCGCAGGCCTCTATGCTTTCCCTCGGATCTGCACCACATCTGCGTCTCCAGAACCACACACTCCTCAACCTTAGACCCTTTCACTTTGAAAGAGAAAGTCAAATTTCAGCCGGGGCATTTATCAGCTGTCTGATCTTAGCTAAATAGTCTTCCAGTTCTGCGCTTCAGTTTATGAATTATCTGGGAGACAGAGGTAATCAAACTTCGGTCTCCACGCACGGCCATCATGCGCAGTGAGCAGCAGCTCGAAGCCACCTTCAAAGGCCCTGGCCAACTGCAGCTTCCTCTGGGACCTCCTCTGGGTCACTCACTTCGCAGCTCAGAGCGCAGCTCAGAGCACAGCCCTCCATCTGGCAGTCTGCTGACGCGGGAGGTCCAGGCTGGAAATAGAGGGGCCATGAAATACCAGGCAGACCAGTGCATGCGATGCAGGCTGCAGAGCCGGGTGGCTGAGCGGACCCCATTTGCACATGCACACTAATTGGTCACAATGGAGAGAAGTCTACCAGCCCACTGTGGACTTCCCATGGCTCAATTCTACTCAAGCACCGATCCCCGTAAACTGTCTCTTCCCTGTTCCTCTATCTCCAGCACTAACAGGCAGAAGAAGGGTCCACAGGAGCATCTCTGAGAAAGGCCACAGCCACCACTGCGCACAGTGGCTTCCTGGGCTGCCGCTGGGGAGGGCCGGCTGTGTGAGCCCAGGTGACGTCACACACGAGTTTCTGCCGCAGCTGCCAAACACAGACCTGCCTGTTCCTTCGCTGCCCTCTGCGGGCTCTGACAGGGCCCACAGGCTGTCTCGGTGTGTGCCCTTCCTGGCACTGGCCACGCACCCTCACAGAAAAGCACTCACTCACCAGACGCAGGCTGCTCAGGGGACCCAGGCTGTACATAGGGCACTGGTGATTTATGCCACTGCAGGCTTGAGGCTGGCACACACCTGCCTGGCCAGCCAAGCCTACGGCTGGGTGGTTCAGGAATGTGGTAATAACCCTTGGTTATTGTCAAACTTTGGTCTCCACGCACGGCCTGGACCTCCCGCATCAGCTCTTGTCACTTTGACATTCCTAAGGACCCCGCTCTGAGTTCACTGGGTCACTCATTTTGCAAACATTTCTACCCAGTAGGCATCACCTTAGCCATGAGGCACACAGTGGTGACAAAAGCCAGAGATGACCCCAGTCGCCTTGGCACTTATGGTCTAGGAGCAGGACACATTTATTAGTTCCTCACACAAGCGGGAAAGCTCAGCCTCTGGGATGAGCAGGATCCTGGAGGAACTGTAACAGGAGCTGCAATGAGGCGAGGCTGGCAGGAGTGAATCAGCAACGCGGCAGAGGAAGGGCTGGGAGTGGAGCGAACCGAGAAGTAACCTGCACGGATGCCGTCTCCAGCATAGACGCGGTGAAGCCACGGAAGGCCAGGCACGTTTCTCATCAAGCTGACTCTTGCTGATGGCCAGCAAGAGGCATGGGGTAGGAGAGCTGCCAAAGGGAGGCTGGGGAACGAGTCTGGAAGCGAGGTCGCCATGGTGCTGGGAAAGATTGCACAGGCTCGGACTGGACATGGCAGGGGACAGGGCTGAGCTGGGACTGCAGCCAGATGCCCTTGAGGAGCAGCGCCTCTCGAAGATGACCCTTGATTCTGGATAAGCCAGGAGTTGGCTGGATGGGGAACAAGCAGACCACGGCGCTCGCAGAGTTGTACTAGATCATGTATGAATCATCACTGCTGTCACCGTGATTGCTACAGAGAAATCCTGTTCTATAAGATGCTCCCTTACCCACAGCCCTGCTGGATTCTGGCAACTGTTCCATGTGCCTCAGGGACAGAAGAGAAGAGACCGATCGGAAGGGAGTTGTGCAGATACTAAGGGTCTTCTCGGACTGGTCAGCAGGAGGGGCTAGGCTACGGGGCAAGACTTGGAGACGACCCTTTGGGCAGACTGTGTAAGAGACAGAAAATAACTGACCTTCAAACCACGGAGACATCATTTGGATGGAAGGATCCACTATGTAACAATGGACAACTGGTCTACCTGCTGGATGTGGGCACAGCCAGAGCCCCAGTCCCTCCTTACCCTGTACCCTGCAAAGGCTTGCAGAAGTCCTTCGTGCCCTAGAATGGACACAGCTGCAGCCCATCCTGCTTAGCCTCCACCCCAACTGCATCAGAGTAACAGACCACACGTGAAGAGCTGACCACCCCGCTTTGGAAGAACTGAGAACTGGGTACTCGAACACTACTCTGCCCTTTCTATAACTTATTGGGAGACAAGGTCTCACTAAGCTCCCGAAGCTAGCCTTGAACTTTCGACCCTCCTGCCTCAGTCCTGCCTCAGTCTCCAGAGTAGCAGAGATCACAAGCATGAGCCACGAGGCCCAGCAGAGGAATTTTAAATGCTATGTGGCCCCGTTTATGGTGTGACTGTTTTTTCCTTTCTAAGGAGACCAGTCTTACTGTGCTGCCCACCCAGTCTGGAATCCCGGGCTCCCGGGATCCCCTCAGCCTCTGGAGGAGCTGTGACTGAAGGGCTGAGAATTCCCAGAAGCCCGCCACTTCACGAGACCACGAGACCCCGAGACCCCGGGGTTTCACAGTCACTTGATTTTCTATTGTCAGTGAGCACTGTCCCCACCCGAGGCTTGGAACCCCTGGGTAATTTGCAGGCAGCAAGGATCTGGCGCTGGCTATCTTTCCAGTGGTTCTGTGTTTTGTTTTCGCTCGTTTGAGTCAGGGTCTTGCTAGGACTTTGTGCTCTTGCTAAATACAGGTGCAGGCCGGTGTGGGCCAGAGTGGGTCAGTGGAGTCACAGCCGTCACGCGAGGTCAGCTGTGGCTCCTCCTGCGCTGTTGGTGCCAAGACCCTGGGAGACGGAGTGGCTTGCTTTCACCTTAATTACCGCAGCAATTTGCTAAATTTTGTTTTTCCCTTTTTAAGAGTGTTAATCAATTTCAGCTCATAATAGATTGGAATGGCAAGCAAATTACCACGACAATCCCCAAATGCTAAATTCTCAACATCTTGATCAACCTCGGAGCCTGGAAAATGGGAAACCGAAGCTCAAGCCAGCATCTCTGTAATCTAGTTAGAGCCGGATGGCTCTGAAATGAAAGGATATGGCCTGATGGGTCTGGGTTGAGCAACATGCCCAGGTCAGCCCCGCGCCCAGTCAGTCCCTTCCGAGGTGACTGCAGAAGTCCCCAGGTGCAGTGGCACGTTCTCTACCAGGAGCATTTGCTTGTGCCAAGCCACACGTGTTACAAGGCACCTACTGTGCACCAGAAATGCACATGAGTGAGACATGTCCCCTGTCCCGCCTCCTTAAGACGCTCCAGTTGATGGCCAAGGGAAAAGGATTTCTGGGTAAGTCAGGAATGTCCTCCGAGGAGGTGGAAACATGTCTGATTCAGGAAGGACAGGTAGGACCTAGGACATGACAGGTGAGCAGGGTCACCCAGAGAGAGGGCACAGTGCGCCAAGTGACAGGAAGATGTGCAAGTTGGCAAGGGGTGGGTGTGGAACTCGGGTCCAGCGCCAGGGCAAACAGGCCTTCGTGGTCAGCCCAGGGCTTCAGCCTAGACACAATCAAGGTGCTGGGCAGGAGGGAGTGACCACAGGGTTCTTCTGGAGAAAACCTTTGCTGTTTGCTCAGCCTGGCGTTTTATGCAAGCTCACACACGTTCTTCACTTGAGCCTCTTAATTCCTCGGGAGTTAGAATCTCACCACTGCTAATTAGTAAACAGGATGCCCAGAGACGTCCTGCGATCATCATGGGAATACCCCAGTTGCAGCCCTGGACCGCAGACCCTGAGCTCAGCACGCACTCCCTGAGTGAGGGAACCCTCTAGACGCCTGCCCAGGCCACTCTCAGACACCTGGGAACCTTAAGGCCTCCAGCTTCTCTAGAAGACTTGGCGGCCAGGGAGGCCCACAGCAATGTGGCCTCGTGCTGGGAGAGGTCCTGTTAGGCCTGCAGTGACCACACCAGACAACCTGCTACACGCCGGACACCTTCACCCAGGAGCCGGGACTTCTGCCACGGCCAGCCTGCTGGCCTCCCAGAAAGGAGTGGCACCGACCAGGGCAGGACCCCACCGCCCTCAGGCCCCGGCCGCCCTACCTTGAGCTCATCCGCATTGTAGAAGTCCACACGCACAGCGGGCACCATCCAGGTGTGGAAGAGGGTGGCCAGGATCTGCTCTGCGATGGAGTCGGCGATGAGGTGGAAATGTAGGGGGTTCCGCCTGTGGGAGGAGGGAAGCCGAGCAAGTCAGGTTTTGCATGGAGCCTCACATCAGCCCCTCACTGAAGGGGGCAGCATTTGCTGCCCATGGCCACTGTGAGAGGCCGCCAGGGATGTGGCCCAGCAGTGCTCGCAGACGAGGCTGTCAGAGCAGGGAGAAGGGAGCACAACTCACCTGCCCTCAGCAGATGACATCCCTGAAGGTACCCAACCCAAGCCACCCAGCACCCCAAAGCAGGGCACACCCACACGGGCCACCTCCCAGTGGCTGCAGGCACCTGTGCAGCCACCACTGGTGTGAGGTGTGCTTCCCGCACATCTCCCAGGGAGACCCAGACTTTCACCCGTGAGCATCCGCCTGTCCTCACTTCCAGGCTTCTGGCAGTGTTTATCCACCCCGGACCTGCAACCCGGCTGGGAGGCTGCCCGCCCCCCACACCAGCAGGATGTGCGGCCCACAGTAGCAGATGTGGTAGTGACAATGCCACTGTCACCCAAGATGACAACAAAAACCAAAGCACTAAAACGGGTAACTTCCTCCATGGACACTGGGGTTGGGCTGGCCAGCTCCAGATCTTCCCACCCACCTTGGCCCAGGTGTCTTTCTGCAAAGCAGAGTTGGGAGCACTGCCCACCCTGGGGGACAGGAGGACGGAGCGTGTCAGAATCCTGGAGGGATGCCTGCCCCAGAGGGAGCCACGCATGAGAGCAGAGTCCACCCACACAGGGAACAGGCTGGGGCAGGCACAGTACCATGGGGCACAGCGGCCTGACAGCATCAGTAGCTCACCCAGGATGCGTTGTGGCCACAGCCCAGCCCTTCCCTACCTCAGAGGATTGTGTCCTCCCCCTGCATCCCGGGGGGAATAAGCAGTTACAGGCCCAGAGCTCACTGATGAGCTTTTTTGCAAAAACACAAGCCCTCCTTGGAGGAAGAGGAACAGGAGTGAGCAGCTCTTCCTGCCAACAGGAGCGCGGCGGGAGAAGCAGTATCACCCTGGCACGCAAATATCACATCCGGGTACGTGATGCTTGCCACCGATCTGCACCCAGGCGTAGGTGTGGCCGCAGTCCCACTCAGTGAACAGCCTTCTCTCTCGAAATGGGCGCCACTTACACCTAAGCAGCAAGCCCTCTTCACTCCGCCTCCCATGGACCTTTCTCACCTGCCTCTCTTTGTGGAGGCTGTGTAACAACAGAGTCAAAACTGCCTGTAGCAGAGGGAACAAAGCGAAGTCACCTGGTTCCTGCCACACAAACAGGACTCCCGAGCTCGCCTTTCTCAGGCGTTTCTGGCGGGCCTTCCACCCGGGCCTGTGTCAGCGCCTGTGTGTGTACCGTGCGGGCTCTGGGCCCTTCCGGACTTGATCCTGAAGCCACTGCTGCAGCTGCCACTTAGTTCTGCAGCCCTGGGAGTGGTGGCTCCTCCTCTGAGGCTGCTCCACCCTCCAGTTCCTCGAGTAGGGACAACAGTTCCAGGCCCGTTCTCTACAGCTGGGCCGTCCTTTGAAGTCAGGGTCCCCACCGCAGTCTCATGGGGTCAAGGTGCTGGCAAGGGTTGCTCACGCTCCTTCCGCAGGTTCAGCAGCGGTGGTGTGGGGTGAGTGTGCAGGCGTGCCGGCACGCTCCTGTAAGCGCAGGAGAGCGTTCACCACCACGCACACCGTGGAAGGAAAACCAGGCAGAGGTAGCAGAGCAGGCCTTAGAGGATAACCTGGGAATCTCTGCGGGAAAATTCACGGAGTCACTGTATCTACTGTGAGGACCCAGGCCACCATGACGTTACCGGTGACGGCAGGAAGGTGCTTTGCCAGCACTTCGTAACCACATCTCGGTCACCCGTGTGGGCGCCAAGGCAGTGGGCTGTCCACAGCTGGGCCTCCTGAGCGCGGCGTCTTTCATGCGTCCTCTTGCCCGGCTGCTGGACTCGCTACCAGCGTGTGGATGCGAGTGGTCATTCTCTTTCTCATGCTCTTCACCGGGTCTGAGAAAAGCCCGGAGTCCACTGAGTGGTCAGAGCCTACCCTTGGAGCTGGCTTTCTCCTTAAATCCCCCGTCTGCGTGAAAGTCTGCACAGCAGCAGCCATGAGCCTGTAAATTCAGTGTCTACTGCTGCGTGTCACATGGGAGGGAACGTTTGTCTCCATCGGGATTCTGGAGATGCCAACAGCCATGGGGTTAGGTGACTGGAACTCAGCACCAGGAACACAGTTCACTGCCTGCAGCACAGGAGCCAGTGAGACCCACAGGCTGAACACCCATCAGCAGGCAACACCCGCTGTGCGCTCCAGGAGACGGCTCTCGGGTTCTGGCTGGGACGGGAGATCTTCAGTGGACATGGAGCCGAGGGGCCAGGTCGGCTCAGTGCTAAGCTGCAGGGTACCTGGATTCCGGACAGCAGCAGGCGACAGTGGTGGAGCCCTAGGGGTCCCTGACATTGTCTGCAGCACACCACACGGAAGGGCCATGTTGCCGCCCGTCAGGGACACAGGGCCCACCCGTCCTGGGCATCCTGGACGGGACACGTGGGCTCCTACTTCCTCCTCAGCACCCCCATCTTCCAGTGGCACGCAGTCGGGAGGTGGGGTCAGCACTGTTGCTGAGGGTGCCCTTGCATGCTAGGCTTCCCCACCCGCAAGGGCAGCGATCTCCACCTTGGGTACTCTGGCCTGTGGGTCACAGCCACATGGGGCCCTGCTGGAGACCTCCCCTTTGAACTCAGTAGCCAGTGCTGCAGTGGACCCGGTATGTCCTAGAGTGACCCAATTCACAGCAAGAGGTAAATAACGCAGTGAGCTGTCAAAAGCCCCCGGCTGTTACTTAACCGTCCAGACTGTTCTGCCTTCAAGTTCTCTGAACCCCCAGGTTCTCTTGCAGTACATCCATTACCATTACAAGCTGACATTTATTGGGCATTTACTATTACAAGCTGACATATATAGGGGCAGGCGGGCTCTAAGACCCCAGGAACACCGTAAAACAAGACAAGTCTGTACCCCCAAGGCCTGCATCCTGCCCCATGGGCTCCTCATGGACAGAACAGAGACCCTGACCTCCGTGTCCAGTAGGTGAGGACCTCGTGGCTTCAGGGTGAGAAGCAGAAGGAAGTGGGTCACACGAGGGACCCACAGGATGAGACCCAGCCTCAACACACAGTGCAGAGGGCAGGGAGACCCTGCAGGATGGAGAGGCGCAGTGTGAAGTAAACGTGAGGTAGGGAGACTGCAGGGAGGGCCAGGGACCCCAGAGTAGGAGCCACGGTGACGCATGGGCTCCTCCCTCGCTGTGACAATGGTGGGCGCTGCAGCTCTGCCCGGGCTGTGTGAAACACCACTGGGAGAGGCAGAGTGGGGACCCGGAGGCAGGCAGGACGACAGGGGAGTGGACAGAGGACTCTGGGTCAGGGGACAAGCAGGGCGTGGAAAAACAGCCACGGAGAACCATGCACACTGCATGGGACAGAGAGGAGAGGCCTGGGGACCCTGGCTTCCTGCAGGGCGGGATCACAGCCCTGCATGGTGTCCCTCATCTCTGTCTTCCCGGGTGGACACTTGCCCCATCTCTGTCCCTGTGGTCACTGCGAGATCTCAGATGGCACACTCCCTGAAGAACCGCCAGTCCTGGTCACTCAGCATGGGGCCAGATTGCTGCCCACTGCAGCCCTCCCTGAGAAGTCAGAGCAGTGCCAAGGACACAGCTGGACCCGTGGACCCAGTTCTGGGTGCAGTCGACCCAAGGGTGTCACAGCACCACCCACAAGAGCAGAGCCGGGAAATCCCTGAGAGATCGTGGATGACGAGGGAGTTTCACCTAGAGACGGGAGGCAGCCTGGGGACAGCCCTGTAGCTGCTGTGCATTTCAGAGGGGACCAAGCAGCACCCAGAAACGCCCAGAGCCACCACAGGGTGCGCCGGCCGAGAGGAAGAAACCAGCACGAGACATAGCAGGCGTGTGAGTGCCACAGCCCTGCCAGCCACATCCCGGGCAGCATCTGGGTGCTGTTCTTGGCTTGCCATGTGGCCACTGTGTCCTCCCTCACATGGCTGTGTTCTGATCTCTTTGTGAGACACCAATCATACTGGATCAGGGATCCCCAGTCCAGTGACACCACTTTTACCTTTGAGGCTCCTATCTGCCTCCTGGGTAATGTCCTGAGGCACCAGGGTTCCAGCACAAGCTGAGGGTGGGGGTGCAGAAGGGGTGCGTTACTGGCCTGCGACACCCTGGAGAGTGGCCACTGGGCTGATGAAGCTGGAGCCTGGAACTTGGGTGGCCCCGAAGGTTCCTTTTGGTCTGTGTGCCTCACCCCACCTGATACTAGGCTAATGGCCACCATTAAGGCCATCACCTCCCGAACCAGGACCTGGACATATCTTCCTGCAGCCTGAGCGAGGGGCATGGCTTTGCCCTCCTGGTCCCTGCCCGAGGCCAAACTACCTGCTATGCGCCAGGCTGCCCTTACCTGTGGAAGAGGACGGACTTGACCAAGGTAACCACATCCCGGCTGGCGTTGTATCCGGCACAGACGATGGCGACGTGGATTGTCTGTAAGGAGAGAGGCACAGCGTCAGACAGATGGAAGGAGCCCATCCCAGGGCACAGGTCCCGAAAGAAAGGTCATGCTCATGCCTCCCCGGTCTCACAAGGACGCGGAGGGCAGCGCCTGCCGCTGCGGAGGGGAACCAGAGGTGGTTTTATGAAAGCCTTTTTAATCAGTTTATGGAGCCATCATCATTTGGAAGCCATTAAGGCTCTTTCCAATTACATTTGGGGACAAGAGAAATGGTGATTGGATCCAATAAGCAGTGAGTACCCTGCCCCCCAACGGACTGGCAGCTGGGAAGAGAGGGGAAAGGAATTCGCCCTAAGAGGACGAGCGGCTGCCTGGGCTCTGAGACCCAGGAGTCCCAGCAGGGTCTGAAGTGCCCTCGGGAGGGGTCACTGGTCCACACTTCGTGGGAAAGCCTCAGGGTCAGGGCACCCACTGTGAGGGCAGGGTGCAGCCTGCAGGATAGCACACGGAAGGACAGACCCATGCCAGCCGCAGCACAGCATCCCAGACAGTGGCCTGGTGCCAGAGCGTGATGACCGAGCCGTGGGTGAAGAATACCCTCGTCTCTGCGCCTTCTCAGAGCTACTGGACCAGGCCGGTGCCCACTGCCTGGCAACCCCCTCTCCCAGGCCCTTTCCCATCCTGTTCCTGTAGCACCCGAGCACCTTGACAGGATGCCTCCCAGCCTCTGGCGTCTGTCCCTCTGTCAGCAAGCACTGACTGGCAGTCTGTCCCCTGGAGATCACTCCAGCCACACTGACCTGGGCGCTCCCTCTGCCCTCAGTCCTGAGGTTGGTGCTGAGCACAGCCTTGTTCTTGTGCGGGGCTTCCCAACCCTGCTACCCTGTCGGCTGCTGCAGAAGGCACTTCTGACGGGTCACTTCTCTGCAGGCTTCAGTGACACTGACCCCGGCACCAGACCTCCCACCTGCCCCCAGCTCCTGAGCAAGGGATGGGTGATGTGACCCTGGGACAGCCTCCAGCCTGCTCCCCGGACCCCACCATAGCGTCCCTCCCCCATCGCAGCCACCCCACAACGGGCGGCTGGACCTCAGCTTCACTCTTCCTTGGGTCACCAAGCCTGAGGGTTCCGACAGCTCCCTCCCTGCAGAACACTGGGTGCCCCCCACCCTGCACTGCGCCCCAAACTGCACCCATCCCATGCTGACTGCGCCTCTGTCCTGGACCAGAGCACCTGGAAGAGCGTGGGCAGGGCCTGGAAGGGCAGCGCCCCAGGTGCTGCACTCGGAGTCCAGAGGGGCCCGGCTGTAAGAATCGGGTGCAGTGCCTTTCCTGTGATCCGCCAGGAAATGTGAGTCCATCAGGACCAAGCCCTGGAGCGGAACTGTGACCCCAGGCTCCATCACCTTTATCCAGCGCCACCTCCCACTGAGAACTCAAGTCAAAACACTGAGGGCTCGAGCCCCCAGCTGACCAGCGCTGGTCCCAGCAGGGCCCCTCCACTCCCCTGCTGCCCAAAATGTAGGACTCAGGCCAGTCAGGGCTCTGGTGTCACTATGGGTGACCAGCTGCTGGGGGCACTGTGGAGGGGACATCCTGCAGGGCACAAGGCCGCCCCAGGAAGGAACCACCCTGCCCAAAGCTCAGCACACAGTCAGGGAGCTGCTCAGGGAAAAGCAAAGGGAAACTGGGCTGGGGTCCGGATCCTTGGGCTCCTGCTGCCCGGTCCCGCTGGTTCACACATGTCTGAGCTCAACCAGGCACCGGCGTGCTTCTCTCTGGGCGATGTTGCCAGGAGGAAGGACAGCAATGACGGGGACGACAAGGGCGGGAAACCAGGCAACACAGGCTCCTCCGAATCACACACATTTACACGCACAGCCTCGGACACCCAGTGGGTCCTGCTTCAGGATTCCGGGACTCTCTGAGACGGCCACTAACCAGAAGCACAAGTGCGTACTCTGGAGCATCTCTCACAACTCCCCAGTCCCTTGTGTTTCTCATCATCCTGGAAAAGGGGAACCCGAGCCCCTCCACTGCTCTCGGTGGGGTGGGGGAGGCTGACTCCCCAAGGACAGAGCGCACAAGGGCTCAGGCAGGTGGGATGCAGGGACCAGGGTGAGTGTCCCTGGAGGATGGTACTGTCACCATCGCTTCAGCCCTGAAGCCATGACGTCTCAGCTCTGCTGGGCAGCAAAGGCAGAGGTGCCGGTGACAAGTGGATCTGAGAAGTGGTCGGGGCTCCCCAGGGAGGACTCACTGGCCTTCTGGTTAAGGATGATGCCGCAGTCCTGAGAGAAGGGGACCGGCCCAAGGCCGTGTGGCTGGCGAGTCCTGGTCAGGAATCTGGCTTCAGTCCCCAAAGCACACTCCGCAGCAGAGCTTAAAGGCTGAGAGGATGCCCACATCCACGTGCACACTGCATGTGGGGAAACTCACGGACCACAGGCTGCACAGAGGCCATTGCAGTGCCACTGCCAAGGTGATGGAGACCCGCCGGCAGCATGTGGGTGGAGATAGAAGGCCACTCGACTGGACACGACACAGGGAGAGGCCACGGGGCTGGTGAGGCCCAGTGCTCAGCACCTGGAGGCTGTCCTGTGCTCAGAAATACCTGTCACACTTCACAGAAGCTTCACAACAGCCATAGAGGGATGCATGCCCTTGGCGAGGCCACCCTGCACCATAGCACCTGGGACACCATGTCCACCACTGCAACCGTGCAGAGCAGGGTGAGCTCGCTTTCCACATGGACTCAGCCACGGCTCTGTGCTCAGTCTTCATCCATGCAAGCTCAGGGAGGGTGTGGCCCTGAGCTCCAAGCAGAGCAGAGGGTTCCCACAGGCAGGCAGATGGGTATCCATGGTCCTGAGCCCCCGCAGGGCAGGGAACAGTCCCGGGGACCATAGCAGCAGCAGCGGCAGAGGCAGGTCATGGAGCATGCACTTCCCTGGATGAATCCCGTCTTCCCCAGGCCCCACAGTGGGGTGCAGGAGGCGCCTGCTCCCGATGCTGCCCGTGGGGTCCCGGGCACGTTCCTGAGAGAGGCGACTGTGCCCAACAGCCTATGGGCTGGAATGTGCAGGACATCTCCTGGCTTGCGGCTCCCTCTTGGCCAGAGATGCCCTAGAGTGGAGCCTGGATGAGCCGACACTGCCTGAGAGGTGGCTCACGGAGACCCTGGGGCAGGACTGGACTCATCATCCACCGCAGGGAGGAAATCTTGCTCACTCAAAGCCCCGGAGCGGGTGAGCCCAGGAGCTGGCGGTGAGACTCAGGGCAGAGCAGCTTCCCACACAGACTCAGCTCCTGTGAGGCAGCGGTCAGGAGTCCCCACAGCCCGGCGGTTGCCTCCTCCGTGTGCCTCTTCTCATCTCTTGCCTTCCTGTGTGGGCCCAAGTCCTGGCCCCAGTGCCCGGAACACACTCCTCGCCCTGGGCCACCCGCTGGTGGGATCCCTGGAATGGCACGGGGGGGTCCACCTTGTGCACCCTGCATGGTCAGAGCTTCTAGCCCTGGGCCTTCCCTGGCCAGCCAGATGCAGGTGAGGTGAGCATCCTGCAGGTCCCTACTCCAGAGCTGTCCTGCAAGCCGGTGGCCCCAGAAGTGCAAGTGAATGCAGTGGTGCACCATGCCTGTGACCCCAGCATGCTGGAGGCTGAGGCAGGAGGACTGAAGGTTCAAGCTCAGCCCAGGCAACTTAGGGAGACTGTGCCTCAAAAGAAATTTTAAAGGGCTTGGGATGTAGCTCAGTACTGAAAATAAAACAGACAGACAGACAAGACAGACAGACACCTGCAGCAGACAGGGTCCCCAACGCTGCCATCTTGGTGTGTGTTACTCCCCCTCCCCCTGCAGAGTACAGGACGGGATTCCTCTGCAGCAGCTAGGCCATGCCAGGCGACACTGTCTATTAGATGACCCAGGTCTGAGCTCCCTCCCGCATGGACTCCCGGGACATCAGCCTTCCGGCCTTCCGGCCCTCCCAGCACAGGAAAGGGCTGAGCCATACAGCCTCCCTCCCAGGCCCAGGCCTGCTCCTCTGCAGCTCTGCGCAGCCTGTGCTCCCCAGGCCACACGGCATCTGCAGGCTGATCCCAGGCCAGCGCCACCTCCTGAGCGGCTCCTCTCCAGCTCAGTCCCTGAGCCCACTCCTCCCAGAAGCAGGGCAGGGCAAGGCAGGAGGTGCTGTATCTCACCCGGGATCTGCACGCTGCCCTTCCTGACACGCCCAGAGCCGGCTGCCCTGCCTGGTGACCCTCGGACACGCAGGGAGCAGGCGTGTGCGCTGTGGTTTGCCAGGAGACACCTCCAGGGCAGAGCCAGGGGATCTGCTTGGGCGTCGGCGGCCGAAGCTGCTGGGCTGAGTGCAGCCGGCCGGGGTTGCTCCCAACCACAGGCACGGGCAGCTCTGTGTCCTTTCCAGCATCAGAGCTGGGCAGTAGGGAGTGTCATGTGCGTGAGTGTGTGTGCGCATGTGGGGCAGTGATCCCAGGGTCCCAGCACTCAGCGTGCCCTGAAAGGGAGGCAGAGTCACTGTTCAGCTCTCACACACCCTTCACAGCCTTGGACAAGCGACCACTCTGGCCCTGGGCCTTGGGGCCAGCTGCGACCCAGGCCACCTTTCACACTGTAGTCTGAACTAGAGGCCCGGATACGGCCACAGGACCCCTCGGGAGCCCCACTTCCTCCAGAAGGGACACCGAGGCTCTGACTGCCACAACCCACCTGGCCCAAGGGGCCTTACCTCGCACTTCTCCACGGCCGGCTGCTGCCCGCACTCAGAGCTGTTGCCGGCCACGATGCCCGCACGCAGGCTCTCGCTGTCGCCGGTGCCCTCCTCCACCGAGTAGGTGCCCGTGTGGTTGCCGCGGCGGGGGGCGGGCGGGCGGCCCCGGGCCAGGCTGAGCTGGCGACGCAGGGCCCGGTTTTCCTCCTCCACCTCTCGCACCCTGGCCTCCAAGCCCTCGCGCTCCCGGGGGCTGGAGGCTGGGGACCGGGGGCTGTGGGCCTGGGACTCCAGCGGGGACAGTGACACGGGCTTCCCATCTGCAGGAGAAAAGGGAAGGAGGGTTAGGTGGGTTGAGAGCACTGCTCCTTCAGGGCAGGTTTCCATGGGGACAGTTTCAGCAAAGAAGGGTTCTGAATAGGAAGGGAGGAGGAGGCGGAGAGTAGCAGGAGGTGGGAAGGATGCATAGGAGACAGCAAAAGAGGGGGAGGAGCATAAAAGGAAACACACCTATGTGAGCTCCTACCCATCCTTCAAAACCCCATTTGAGAAACACTTCCCAAAGGAAACCTTCCTCCATTTGCAGGCAAAACATCCTCCAACACAGTCCAACCGTGGTCTGTACCCAGTGTGCAGCAATCTGTACACAGCATGGACAACATAGGTCTGTTCTGCATTAATGGCTCAGTGATTTCACCGGGTGCTACCTGTGGAGGTTGGGGGTTCAGTAAAGGCAAAGCCTGGCTTGGTGTCTCTGGGCTGCGTACCCAGCCTGATAAGCACAGACGGGTGGATGCTGCCTGTGCCAAGGGTACACGGATCGCAGGCAGGGGGAGCAGGACCCCTCGAGGCTGCCCAGGAAAAGTGCACCGAGGCACAGAGCGGGCGGGTCTCCCCATGGCACATGCCTGAATGGTGAGGTTCCCAGGTGCTTGGTCGGGGCCCAGGTGACGCAGGACTGGACAGAACCACGGCCGCGGCTGCTCTGCGGAACCCGGCACCCACAGGCCCTGCAGGAGCCCCCTCCGCAACGCTGCGCCGTCTCGCCTGCCCTGGGCAGAGAACACGGGGCCCTCCGAGGTCTCGGCTCTATGGGGGGACGGCTCCTCTTGGGACCCCGTGGAGGAAACCTGAGCACCGCTCTGCTCCTGAGCACTCAGCCCATCCAGGACACCCGGTCCCTCTGCAGTGACCCCGCTGCAGGCCGGCACCTTCTCCTCCACCAGACCTGCCCCACGAACACGGGCTTGTTATCAAATCTGAATCCCAGAACCCATGTGCTGAGAAGGGACACAGCTGAACCGCAGAGCAGGCTGGGCCGAGGGCGGTGCGAGCCCAGGGCCCGGTCATCCAGCCGCAGTGTGCCCAGCGGTATACTGCCCCCGCCTGGACCTGAGGCTGATGGCCACGCTGGCTGCTGCACAGTACAGGGTGAGGGCTGGCCACTGCGGGGACGGAGTGTGGAGCTCACTGAAGGACAGGGACACAATGGCTCTGCCGAGACCTCCAGGCCCGCTCCTGCAGGAAACCAAGGCCCCGCGCCCTAGGCTGGCCCCGGGAGACGTCTGTCTGCTGCCCCTCTGCAGATGGGGAGATCATCACAGCGCTAATGTCCACGCGGTTCCCCCCCAAGTGCAGTCCCCAGACCTGCAATTCCTCCCCGTGCTCAGAGCACTTGCTCTGCTCATTCTATCTCTAACACTTCGCTCCCACGCCACGCCTGAAGCCAGGCCAAACCCTCCCACAAGGCAGCAAGGGCACCCCCTCCACGGTGGCGGCTGCGAGGCCTCGGCGGCCGGCACTCACTCTGGGCAAACATGGTGGCCACAAGGGTGCTGCGCAACACCACGGCCTGCTCCAGTGAACAGATTCGCAAAACACAGGGACTGGGTCCAAAGCCGGGAGTGCAGCCTTCATACCAGAGGCCCTGTGCCCGCCAGGCCCACACACAGGCACTGGAGACATCCCCGGGGTGGGGCTGAGCACCTGGCACCATTGCGGCCAGCCTCTGCCTGAATACTCCACCCAAGTACGGGTCCCGGCCAGATGCCATGCACAGTGCACAGAAGCGTGGTGATGGCGACTCCTCTCTGACCAGCTGGGACGGACAGACAGACAGATATGATGCCCCTCCACTAAAGCAGCCAGCAAGATCCCAGGCTCCTTGGTCCTGAGGCCAGGGGCTCTCACCCTGACTCTCGAAACCTCTGGGGCCTACTGAGGTGCCCAGGCCCCATCCCAGGAGGGGAGCCCCGATTTCTGCATGTGGCGTCACAGTACCTGTCTAAAAGCAGCTGTCCCACTACGGGGTTCTCCTGGGGCGCCTGGCTGAGACACAGCAGCCTCCGTGTTACCTGGGCCTTCAGCTGCTGACTGCTGGGGACTTAGACTCTTTCAAGGCCGGGGTTGTGCACCTCCCACCCACATCTCTCTCCTCCCTGTGACCTTCTCTCCAAGCAGAGCTGGCCAACCACTCCAGCCCTACGACCATGCGGCGTCCCCACCCGGGCCCTCGGACATGTCTTGCATTCTAGGGAAGCCTCCCAGTTCTCTTCTGTAAGAGACCGTGTCCACGCAGTACTCTGCCATTTTTTAACACAGCACCCTCCTCTAATGCACATAACCCTCCTTCAATGATATTTAAAACTTGCTTAGGAAATTCAGTTTGGAAGCTGAGTGTGGTGGCACACGCCTATAATCCCAGGACTTGAGAGGCTGAGGCAGGAGGACCACCCTGAGCTTGAGGCTGGCCTGGGTTACATTGTGAGTTTGAAGCCAGTTTGAACTACATAGCGGGACCCTGTCTCAAAAATAAAAAAGGAAGAAAGAAAAGCAAATTCAGCTTGATCTAAAGTCGCAGTTTTCTCCTACCATGGCCCCAGGACATCCCGGAGGAGGCACTTTGGGAGGTGCTGGATTCTCTACTGGAAAGGAACCAGCCTCTGTGCCAGGCAGGGACGCTCACTCCATCTCACCGGCGCCCCCCAGCGGCTCTCTGCGAGTTCCCTGGCAGCCAAAGTGAAGCTGAGCTCCAGCAAAGGCCCTGGCGAGCTGGCGCAGACAGACACAGCCAGAAAAGCGCCTCGTGAGCTTCTGAAAAAGATTCACCAGCCCCAGGCCCGGGAGCGGAGCCGGATTCACCGTGCTGTGCTAGGAGGAAGGACACGCTCTGACCACTTCCCGCCATGACATCACTCTCGAGCCCTCATCCAGCAGGGCTTCACTGCGCAGGAAAACAAAGGCATCGTGGGCACCGATTTGCTGCGTCCACTCAGGTTCTGCGCCGAGTGCTGGCAGTGGGTCCTGCCGCGTGTCGCCCTGGAACTTCAGGGCCACAGAGTTGGAGCCTCAGCCTCCGCCCAGATCTTCCAAGTTCTTCGGGCCCAAGGCAGCTCTCTGGACTCCTGTCTCCCAGTGGGCGACTCAGTCTTTCTGCTTCGAACTGGGATCCCTTCTTCTGCTCTTAGATGGCCAGGGGTGGAACTTGCTGCAGAAGGGCTTTGTGGGGAGCACTGGAATCGCCTCCGACAAAGCCACTGCATGACAGAGGGCCAGCTCGAGCTCCTTGCCATGGGTGGAGCCCTGCCAGCGGGGTCAGGGCCCTCCACCCAGAGGTGGCAGGCAGAGGGAGCAGAGCAGAGGACAGCTGGAAACCAAGCAGATGTCACCGCCTCGGGGACCGGCCAGTGGAGGAGCGCAGAGGACAGCTGGAAACCAAGCAGATGTCACCGCCTCGGGGACCGGCCAGTGGAGGAGTGCCGGGCATTCGTGCCCGTGTCTCCTCCGGCCATGCTGTCTCCACTGAGCCCCTTCACGCACCTTCCTGCACCGCTCCAGGACCCCGCGCCCCACAGCGCCCCTGAGGGCTGAGTCTGAGGAAGCAGCCCTTCTCCGCCCACGGTTTCCTCTGCCAGGTGACAGCTGGACACATCCCCTACGTCGACAGGACACCGCAACTGCAAACTGAGCAGCCTGCAGGTTTTATAGAAGGCAGGAGCATCTCAGTCTGCACAAAGCTTGGCTGTGCACAGCACACAGAATGTTCCAGAATTTCCTAACTCTCACTTCCGCCGCATGGGAGAGGAAAGGTTTCCTAAGTATTTTCCCACTGATCTAATTTTTTAAAAAAATCTTTGCAATAAATGTGCTATTTTCTATGAAATATTCATGGCCCTTATAAAAAGCTCAATACTACATCCCAACAGTGCAAATCGCATGTGCTAAGGAGAGTCATCTTTTACAGTGAAAATGTTTAATGAGGTTTTTGAAGATAAAATCTTGTACAAATGGAGCAGCCACATGGGAGGACTCTTGAGCCGGCTTTACATCTGATTTTACATTCATCGGACGATGGCAGCACAAAACTGGCCTCTACTGTGCGTGTGACTGCGCAGGGTCCTCGAGCTCCCGACGCTGTCCCCTCCCGGGCTAGATTGTATTGCCGGAAATGACTTCTGCATTTTTAAAGGGGGAGGATGGACAGTACGTCCATTTCCCCTGGCAGGTGGGTGCGGGGTTTGAACAGCAAGTGGCAGAGGAGGCGCCAAGCCCCGGCTGCACCCCTGCCCCCAGAGTCTGCTCTGGACGTCCAGGGCTGTGGTCATCGCTCCGTAGGTGACGGCGTAGGGCGACACGCAGATGGATGGGAAACAGCAAGGAACTCTCCTAAGAAAAGGTGCATCCTGAGTGGGGTCTTGAAATCTTCAGGGGGGCAACGGGTGCTAAGGGAGCGTCTGAAGGCCCAGCAGTGAGGGTGACTAACACAGAAGCCACAGGTCACCCGGCTCCTCTGAGCCTGCTGGTGACAATGTCCCGGGTGGCTGGGACAGCGGGAGGCAGCCACGGTCCTTTACCCTCCAGGTCTGCTCATCTGACCACAGCACCGGAACCACAGAACCACGCACCCCAAAGTCGCCCGGAAGTCTCCTCCCGGCATGGGGGGGGTGAGCAGCACACGCTTGGTCCCAAAGACCTCTCCTCCTCCACAGCCGCCTGCTTTGAGACAATCTCACACAGACCTCCCTGCCTGGCTCCGCCTTCCAGGCCAGCTGGCCGCCCTTCCCAGGGGTCACCTGTGACCTTCGGGGTTCACTGGGTTAGGCCCGATGAGAAGGGAGTGGGAAGGACAGAAGGAGCCCATGGCCAGCCGGCCAGCCTTCGTCTGCACCTGCTAACTTTGCAGCAGCTGCAGGACCAGCCCACACACTATCCCAAAGGGCAGGCAGACAGCGCTTCCGGAGCCGGCCGCTTCCTCCGCGTTCCCTGCAGTAACCGCCATGGCCCCAACATCATGTCACGGAGCCCAGCTCAGCTGCCAACT